TGGTGAGAAATGCTTTAGAGGAATGAAACTTAAGACTTAAATATGGATGAAATCTGTGCAAAATCCCTTCTGCATATGAATATTGAATTTAGAGCAGCTCTTCTAGCAAGCTGGCATCTGTTTCTGCATGCCTGCAGTCCACATAATGCTGTTAGCTGTTGTGCAAGATCCTGAACAAACACATACCTCTAGTGCTTCAGGAGATAGTTTACTTTTGTGTTAATGAACTGAGAATCAGCTTTTTGAAGCTGACCAAGTCACTGCAGTAATCTGTCAAACTAGTATTTGGGTACCAGTTTGGGTGGAATCTGGTAAACTTGAGTATCCAGAAAGTAGTGAGGAAAAAGTTGTTGCAGCTTTACTGGAGGAGCATTATTCTACTAATATCCATAATCCTGCTTTAAACAGGATCAAAAAAGCAAGTTATTAAAGTTTTTAAATCTTTAACAGGGTTTAATATTTGAAGATGAATCTAACTACAAATGTAAGTGACTTTGCTAGCAGAAACTATTCCTTTGTTTCTGTTTGCCAGTGGTGACTCTGGCAAGCAGGTATATAGGTAGGATTAATGATAGATCAATTTTTTTGTGATAAATGATGTCTCTGGACCGGAACAGCCCACCAGTGCACTACCCCATTCAGACCTTACACAGGGTTAATCAAGTTTGCTTTAAGTATTGCATTGCCCTTTCCCTCCTTAATACTTCTGACTCATTGAATAAATCATAGCAGCCTCAAGAAGGGTCAGGCAGTCCTAGCTCTGATCTGATCAGCCTGGCATTGTAATGCCTGCTCACATTACCTGTCCTGTCAGATGCATTTCTCATGGGCTCATAGCTGGCCCCTGTGCAGATTCAGCCTCATTACCTCTGACAGCCCTGGAAGGTGACAGGTTAACTGCAGCAGAAAGCTGTTGAGCTGAAGTTCAGAGCAGCTGGGTTTCTATTGGGAAAGAATCTGGCAGACCTCATTCAAAAGCAGGTATTTCACTTTTCTGGGTGTCTTTGCTTTCCCTGAAATAAACTGAGTTTCTGGTCTTGAGCTTAATGTGCAAACAGCTGGATCTTTGGTGATGTGCTTAACTTGCCTTGTACCCAATACCTCTTGGTTGCTACTATGGCACTATATACATATCCTTTAGCTGGGAGCTTTTGTCTTGCCCAGACCTTCACAGTGTTAATAGGCCTAATAACTCATGCTAGAGCCAGTTTGCCTAAATCTACTTTTATGGCTGTACCTTGATAAAAGGTGATAGAATTACCAAGACAGCCTGAAATCTGTCTGCTTTATGAAATAATTTGAGATAATCCCAGGAGGTATGTTCAGTTTCTCCTTGAGACTGGTTATGCATTTGAACTAGTTTCATTTGTGTTCTTTACAACCTCCTATATATTAAAACCCTGAATTTGTCTTGATATGGTGACAATCTTACCTGTTAAGAGAGAACCTTGTGCAAACTGTTCTATAGACGGCAGGTCCAGTTAAGTCTACAAAATCCGATTGCATCCAATCTTGTTATGAATTTTTCAGGTTGGTCCAGCTGTACAGATTCCTCAGAAGTCTGAATTGCTGTGATATGGAAATTAATCTGAGGTATTTAGGTGAGGCTTGAACATGCTTTGGTAATGCTGCAATCCTGTTGTAACTGGGACATGTGCTACAAGTGAGGATTAGAGAGGTTAGGGCTTTTACGTAAGCTCATAGGAAAAGGACCAACTTTTTGAGGCAGGATTCAGTTCAAAATCAAGTTCTCTATAGGTAGTTCATCTGGATACTGGATGTCTAGACTGCAGCTAATGGAATGAGATCTTGTCAGCTTAGGCAATGGAGTCCAGGGTGATCTAATACACCTTGCTGTTTGATCAGCTGAATACTTCAAGTGACTCTAGGTCAAGTGTGAAAATGTGACCTGAAACCTGTGCTTCTGTTGCATTTCATGCTTGAAAGTCTTCAAACTTGCACAGACTTAAAGGCAGAAAGTGAGCTGGCTGTGGAAGGCCAGGATGTGATGGTTTTGAAGGGACTCTGGATCTGTCCTGACACTGCTATGAAATGCCAGCCTCTGTGAAAAGTGTTTCATAGCTTAGTTATATATGAATGAGGCAGGAAGGTGTTATCCCCTTCTGATGCATTTAATATGCATTATGAAGTAGTTT